GTTGCTAGAGTGTTCTGGGTGGTTGCTATGAGGTCGCTAGGATGTGGGTGGATGTCAGGGAGTTCCTATAGGGCTGCAAGGATGTTCTGGGTGGTTGCTATTGTAACAGAGTTAGGATTTTATTTAGTTTTATTGTGAATTCTTATGAATTCAGCAGCGGTTAATTTCATGTTGTACTGATGCCCTCGTGTGGTTTGTGTGAGAACTGCAGGCAGATAAAATGTTCGGTAAGACAGGAGATGACGCAACACAGCAGTTGCAACGTGTACTGCACGCTGTGGGCACTTATGCCTGCAGCAAAATAACCACTAAAGGGGTGATTTATTTCATTTTACAGCCTGCAGTAAAGAAAAGAAAGATTCATACCAGCCAGCATTGTGTCCGAGCCTTTATTGGAGGGGGGTTCGGACAAAGATTGAGTCCGTTGTACAGAGCGGTGTCTTATCGGATCTCAGTGGTGTTCATCCAAGTCACATGTAGAGTGGAGGAGAAAGACCACATCCGTCACACTATGAGGTTGCTAGGACGTGGGTGGTTGTCAGGGTGTTGCTGTAAAGTTGCTAGAATGTTCTGGGTGGTTACTATGAGGATGCTAGGATGTAGGCGGTCATCAGGGAGTTGCTATGGGGTTGCTATGAGATTGCTAGAATGTGGGTGGTTGTCAGGGAGTTGCTATGAGGTTGCTAGAGGGTCCTAGATGGTTGCTATGGTTGTCAGTGAGGTACTGTGGGGTTGCTAGAGAGTTCTAGGGGGTTGTCAGGGAGTTGCTATGAGGTTGCTAGAGTGTCCTAGATGGTTGCTATGGTTGTCAGTGAGGTACTGTGGGGTTGCTAGAGAGTTCTAGGGGGTTGTCAGGGAGTTGCTATGAGGTTGCTAGAGTGTCCTAGATGGTTGCTATGGTTGTCAGTGAGGTACTGTGGGGTTGCTAGATAGTTCTAGGGGGTTGTCAGGGAGTTGCTATGAGGTTGCTAGAGTGTTCTAGATGGTTGCTATGGTTGTCAGTGAGGTACTGTGGGGTTGCTAGAGAGTTCTAGGGGGTTGTCAGGGAGTTGCTATGAG